GTCCTGACCATTCTCAGTCCCGGTAATCCCATCCCCCCTGCTACAGAGCGACTGGTTTAGGCAACAAGCAAACTTAAGCTACTCAACACCACATTCTACAGCCAATAAACCGGCTTAAGATTGGGCAATGACACATGAGAATTTGCTGGGGGCTTCTGGAAGAAGTTACACACTCGCTCCTCTGACAGAGCCCCCAGAATGGCCAGTCCTATCTCTCTTCCTGGATGGTGTGTTGTGCACACGAAGTTAGAGTGCTCCAGAGTCACTTCCAGAGAAGCCGGCTGAGGATGAAACTCAACCACAGAGGGCAACTTGGAAAGAAAATGTGTTCTTGACATCACCGAGAAGCTAAACCAAATCTCCTTCCAGTTATGTAAGCTAATAAAAAATTCTGTTTTGTCTGAGCCAATCTAAACTGGGGTTTCTCTCTCTTGCACAATAAGAGCCGTCTGTAACTGATAGAATATTCTGGAAGGCTAATGAGGAGCATGCTTGAGGACTTCTAATCTGGCCACTGGCTTGGCCACATGCCCAGCCCCTAAAGAGCAGTGAGTAAAGGAGCCCCGGAATATACAGGTGACCAACACTTTCTCCCCCATTTCCTCAAGTTGGCTACCTAACAAAGGCCAGGGTACAGTCTGGAAACCCCCTCTCCCACAGAGCCAGGCCTTGGCTGTCTGATGGCAGTGGTGGCCAAGCACAGAGCCCCAAGGTGGGGCATGCTGAGAAACCTCAGGGACATACACAGGGAGTCTGAAGGGGTCTGAGAGGCAGGACCCAGCTCCTTGAGGCTCCTGCCTCCCCTCCCAGTGTACACCGTCCCTGATGGGGCCTCCGGACAAACCGATATGGGAACATCCTTGCCACAAGGGATGGCCACCTTCTGATGGGCAAAAAGAGCAAGACTTGTTAAGGTAGGAAAAGGTAAAAGCACCCCCAGGAGCATCCACTCTCCTAGCGATCCCAAACCAAAGGACCCCAGGGAACTGAGCCCTCAGGCTCCAGGGAGAAACAAAGAACTTAACTAACGATCCTGATGGTTGTAGGTAGTGGGATTTCAGAGCTCATTTGAAAATAACATTGGCTGGGGAGCCTGGGTGGCTCAGTTGGTTGAATGTCCAACTTCGACTCAGGTCATGATCTCACGGTTCACGAGTTCAAGCCCCACACCAGGCTCTGTGCTGATAGCTTAGAGCCTGGAGCCTGCTGTGGATTCTGTGTCTTCCTTTCTCTGCCCCTCCCCCAGAGCTTGGGCTGTCTCTCTCTCTCAAAAATAAACATTAAGAAAGAAAAGAAAAAGAACGTAGGCATATGAACATATAAAATTACCTCCATTGGCAGAAAGAAACAAAGGAAGGAAGGGGTGGCGGGAGAGAAGGTGGAAATGAAAGTATTATACAAAGGGGCGCCTGGGTGGCTCAGCAGGTTAAGCTTCAGACTTCTGGTTTCAGCTCAGGGCATTATCTTGCAGTTTGCAAGTTCAAGCCCCATATCGGGCTCTGTGCTGACAGCGCAGAGCCTGCTTGGGATTCTCTGTCTCTCGCTGTCTCTCTGCCCCTTCTCCCTCAAAATAAATGAATAAAGGTAACAAAAATAAAAGATAGTATGACACAAATAAGTGTACATGCCAAATAAGATGAGGTAAGCCTCGCATCACTTATGCTGGGAGCTTTGCTTTGGGAGAAAGGAAGGAGCAAAAGAGGTTGGTCCTGAGTGAGTTTTTTCCATGCTGGGACCGACCTTGTGCCTATACCTCCTGTTACTCGGTCCACAGGATCCAGGCTACAGGAGATAAGGGAGAGGAGACGGTGTGGGGGACAGCACGGTCATTCTCTATACTTAGCACTAGTCTGACCTTTGTCAGAAAGTGAGATTACAGCATTTGGACCATTTGGACAAGGGTCATAAGATCTAAAGGAGCAGGAAGGGGGGAAGGGCTGGGGAAGGCTTGACCGGGCTCGCAGTGAAGCCAGAAGGCAAAGAATATTGAGCCAAAGTGTCCAGGTCCCGCTGCATTTGATGACAGCCAGTGGCACTCTCCTACCTGCTGATCCTATTTTCAAATTCATTTAAAATAACTTCTACTATTCATTCTTACTAACTCTCATGGCGAGAACTGTGATCCAACACCGCAGAACTCTAGAAATCTTAGGCTAACTTGTACCCAAGTAGCTGCATAATGAACATAGGGAGCCTTCATGAGACTGGAGGTTTTAGGGGTTGAATTGTTGGGAAAACCCCAACGATTCTCTCCATGCCGAAACTGAGGAAGGCATATTTGGCAGAATGGTCCTCTGAAGGAAGAGGTCTGCTCCTTTCTTTCTGGGTTTGCCATGGACACGGAGAGAAAGGACCAGGATGTGTTGGCACAGAGCTGCCGGAGAAGCCCACAGCACCCAGCTTCTTCAGCACCGCTACACTCTGGAAGCCCGAGCCTGCGGGTGGTCGCACAACCCCCCTGGGCAGGCGGGGTGGCAGGAAGAAGGCTGGGTTAAGAGGCAGTTCTCATCCCAACTCTGGCTCTGTGAAGCTGGATAACCACAGACTCCTGACCTAATTTTTTTGTCCTAAGTTTCATTTGTCAAATGAAAAGATTAGGCTAGATCAAATGGCTTCTCATGTCCAGGGAAAGTCTAATTTGTTAGAACTGCCTCCATGGCCCAACTTTATCTGGTCCCTCCCCAGGTCTTGGGCACGTCTGTCCTCTGATCAGTCCCTTTGCTCTATTTCAGGAACATGCCAGGACCATTCCCACCACAGGGCCTTTGCATCTGCTTGCCCTCTGTCTGGAATGCTCTTCCCAGGATAGTCACATGTCTGGCTTCCTGACACCTTTAGGAGAGATTAATATCACATTCTTGGCAAAGATGTACATTTGCAAATCCTCTCTCCACCCCTGCCACCCCACAAAAAGGCACAACAATCCTTACCACCTGTTGTAGATTCTAAAAAAATGTTTTCCCCTCTTAGCACTTAACAGCGTCCCACCTACTATGTATTTTACTTATTTATTTATTGTCTGTCTTTCCTACTAGAGTGTCAGCATTCCAAGGGCAGAGATTTCTTTATTATTTTTTTAAGAGCAGGAGTTTCTATCTGCTCCTTTCACTGGTATATTCCCAGTCCCTGGAAGAGAGCCTGATACCTGACACGGATTCAGGACGTTTTGCTGAACGGATGCAGGCACGGATGGATGGAAGGGAGGATGGGCGAGTGTGGCCCTCTATAGTGTCTTCCAGCTCTGAGTTCTGTGATGCGTCTGGGGAGGGAGCTCTCCTCTGCCACCGCTCTACCAGGATGGACTCTATAACCACACGGAATAAGCCCACCCAGGGCCAGACGCGGCATGCTTTCACTGGCTGTAGAACTTCTCAATGCTGCTTCCTGCCAGCCCTACCCTGTGCATTCGCAACATCTCCAGGACCTCCAGACACTGTCTATGAAAAATTCTTTATATTCGGGTCAGCTCCCTTTTCTAGAGTCAAAATTAATATCATTTGGGGGAGGGGGGCTGCCCACAGTTACATCCATCTCCTTTCTGTAATTCTTTAAGTAAAATTCCTTAGCTTCCCTACTGCTAAGATTCGGCAGGATGAATTAAGCCTGAAGTGACAAGAGGCGGCGGTGCATTTCGGCCAGCTCCACTAGATGGCGACATGGTCAGCCTTGTGCTGGTATCTGGGTGTGAAAATGACCAGCAACACACCAACACCAGCTCCCACAGCCTCTCCTGGCCTCCTCCACACTCACCCCTTGCCTTCTCTTCCCTACTAGGCTGGTCATTTTCAACCCGCTCGCACATGGTTCACGCTCACTCACGGAAAACATTTGGCTTAATCACTTCACCCCTGGAAGTTTCACGTATGCTTCTTCCTTCCACCAAAGTGTGTTCCTTACATCCCTTTGGAGCTCCCCGCAAAACTCACTTCTTCCACAAAACCTTCCCAACTGACTCTGGCTCTGATCTCAACTGCATATATGTCATGACACACAGTCACAGGCATGTATATATCTGAGAGAACGCACCTATGCCCACGTGCATATATAAAGAAGGGAGACAGAGAATCACACACACAGCTCCGGGCACCTGAAAATGCACACTGAACGTAAATGATGTGCAGGTGGCCTCCTTCCGTACAAAACAAGTCCTGTCTCTGGGAAACTGCACTGGCTGCCAAGTTTAATGAGTGGACCAAGAATCTAGATACACTGATGCCTACCCACGTCTTCCAGTTTCTGATTCCTTTCCCATATTCAGTGTAAGCTCCAGAAAGTCTTTTGAGCAGAAAAATTTTAGAGAGATTTCACCAAATATGGTGCACAGACTTGAACAAATGTGCAAATCTGTATGTAGCTTTAAAGGCTATATAAAATGCTCAAAGACGTCCAATTTATCTCAAAAATCAAATTAAGTCTACTTGCAGAAGCTTTAAATATGGCTGAAAACGAGCCTAAGACGTGTTTTAAAAGGACACAAGCCCACATGTATGCTGGGTAAAATTGTTTATTGGCTGTTAAAGAGAATGGTGACTCTAATAACAGTCTGACAAACATGTACACAACAGGAGAACAGAAATAAACACCCATGTGTTTGCAGGTCACTGGCCGGTGCACTGGGACCAGAGACATCTTGCAGTTAAGCACACGGAAAAGGTGCAAGGAGAAACTTGAACCGAAAAAGCTACGCAATCTTCTCAGGGTCCCATTTCTGAAGCATTTCGATCCTTCATTTGTTTACAGACGAAACCATCTACATGCAAACTTAAGATGCCATTTTTTCCACCTACACTATTTCGTACCTCCCTCAGCTTAATGCCAGGGCCCCACACCCAGTCACAGAAAAAAGAAAAGCAGTGATTTGTTCAACACAACCACTTAACAACGCCGCGACCAAATATTATTCCCTTGCAGACAGCAGCACCGTGTCACTTAGTCATCTGAACATTCCGCCAAATTCCAACATATTATACCAAGTTAGTCTGAGGACACTTGTAACTCACCTAGTTTCAGCATTTCGCCCCCTGTCCTCGGTCAGAAGGACGGCTTCACAGCGTCTTGCTAGTCACACGAAATCAAGGAACACACAAGGCCACTCCGTTGATAGGGATTCTATGGTAACTGTGTCGCCTTCAGGAAGAGTCAGCCTTCGCCCGAGAATAATTCCAAAGACTTTATACCATTCTTTAAAAAAATAAATCCACCGTACGTTTACCAAACGAACGCACACAAGACACTGGACGACAACAGTCACTTTCAAAGCTGTCTTGCTTGTTATTCTGGGAGCTGGGTTTCGTCACCTGTAGTGGAATGCATCATGGAGCCTTTAATTGTGAATCCGGAGCGGTCCCCACATCCACACTGGGACGGGACTGGCTGCAGCCTGCACGGCTGCCCGTAAACCATGTCTACGCAGAAACCCAGGGATTACCTGTGATAGGCGACCAGGAGGTAATTTCAAAATCAAGCAGAAACAGGAAGACTAACGTTTCAACACGCTAGGAAAGAGGAGCTGATACTTAAGGAAAAAAAAAAAAAAAAGCAGCAGCTAGATGCCTGGGGGAAAAAAAAACAGACAAAAAAAAAAGAAAAAAGAAAAAACAACAACCCACTTTCATTCCTACCTGGCCAGTATAAACATGAATGTCTATTAATAGTAACTATTGCTTAGACATATTCTTGTTCTAGGTAGAAGTGGAGAACAGAGTTTGGACGCTGTTGTAACTTAAAACCATTAGTCTTATGCTTTTGAAAAGAATGTAAGGTCTTTAGTTTTGTTCAAGATTTTTTTTTTTTTTTAGTTTATTTACTTTGAGGTGGGGAGGGGCAGAGAGAGAGGGAGAGAATCTCAGTCAGGCTCTGCATCGTCAGCGTGGGGCTAGGCACAGGGCTAGAGCTCATGGAACCATGAGGTCATGACCTGAGTCAAAATCAAGAGTCGGATGCTTAACCGACTGAGCCACCCAGGCACCCTGAAAAGAACATAAGGTCATTAGAAAGAATGTGTCTGTGACACATCTATATTATCTAACAGTCTCTTTAGAAGCTTATTGATTTTCCTGTGTATTTGATAATCACCACTACCCACAAATTGTTCCCTTATCCACCCCCACTGAGCAAGATTCTACCAGTCCCACAAAATCCAATTCCACGTGCACTGCCTCTGTGAAGACTTGAAACATCCCAACCAGCCTCCATGATCTCAGCCTCTCCCCCTTTCTATTTTAAGTTTATTTATTTTTGAGAGAGATGGTGAGAGAGAGTGCGATCAGGGAAGGGGCACAGAGGGAGACACAGAATCCAAAGCAGGCTCCAGGCTCTGAGCTGCCAGCACAACTCATGAACCATAAGATCATGACCTGAGCAGAAGTTGGATGCTTAACTGACTGAGCCACCCAGGTGCCCCGCCACTTCCTGGTTTTATAGAATTGCAAGTTATTTCACCTCTCTGAGCAATTTTATTCTCAGTCAAATAAGAATAACACCATCTACCTCGCAGAATCCCTATCAGCATGTTAAGAGAACCATGTGAAGCAAATAACACACGGCATGATGTACAGTGAGGGATTAAATAGCAACGAGCATTATTCTTGACCTGAATTATAACCAAACGCCTACTACTAATACAGAGAGAAGGCTGGAAGAGATACCAGATCAATATCAATTTACAGACGCATTATCCATTACTTATTTTCTTTATCACCTACATTATCTATCATGTGACTACCTCATGGCAGTTTGAAGTTTATACCTTAGAAACCATCCTTTGGCATTCCTTGTGTTATGTCCCCAAATTCTCACTGGCCCGTTAATGCTGTGACATTAATTCTAATCACTAGGACTTTGCAAACACTACCTCATTGGCAATCCCAAGCTACACAGGTCTTGTAAAGAGCTGAAATATCACATCTAAACAGAAGAACTGGGTCTCTTGATTCCTTAAAATACTACCTTGGTGGTAACTGCATGGCTACGTGGTTACCAGGAACCACCCTGTCCGCTCCTGCTGGAGAAGATAGGGCAGCACCATGAAGGGGAGGGAAGACTGGAGGAAGAGGCTCACAGCATCACAGAAAACAGCAACCAGCAAGGCGGCGGGGCCCTGCCACACCCACTCCAGGCACAGTCTGGGAGGGCCAATTCCTGCTTTTGGAGAAAGCTTTCCAGTAACGGAGAATAAAAAACTCGTCTGGATGAGTTACAAACCAGACAGGGGGGCATATCCTTAACACATCCCTCCCTCTTCTCTCCCTCGAAACCAGAATGCCTAGACCTTACAGGCTCGGATCTATTCAAAGTTTGCTGCTTCAAGCAGTCCCAGCAGCTGCAGTTAAAATATTCAGCTCATCCTCCTTCATTTGGGAAGAAAGAAGAGCCAAAGAAGCTAAAGATCAGGATGATTCATGGAGAACAACAGCCTCATACCAAACCTGCTTGGGATTCTCGGTCTCCTCCTCTCTCTCTGTCCCTCCCCCGCTTGCACTGTTTCTCTCACTCTCTCTCTCTCTCTCTCAAAATAAATAAATAAACAAACTTAAAAAACATAAGCTTTATGGGGCACCTGCGTGGCTTAGCTGGTTGAGTATGTGACTCTTGGTTCTGGCTCAGGTCATGAACTCATGGTTTTGTGAGTTTGAGCCCCAGGTCAGGCTCTGTGCTGACAGTGTGGTACCTACTTAGGATTCTCTCTCTCTCTCTCTCTCTCCCTTCCCCACTTGCTCTCTCTCTCTCAAAATAAATAAATAAACTTAAAAACCCCCACAATATCTAACTCTTTTCAGTTGCCTCTGTAGCTATGAGTACAACTCTTCTATGTTTTCTTAGGACTCACAAATTAAGCCACTCAAGATCCATTCAAGGATCAACAACTGTGGTGGTCGCAGAAGCAGGGGCAGGGAAGGGAGAGGACACTCTGGAAACCCGGCCTGGTGGCCCCGGGACGGAGGAATCTGTCCAGATCCAGCTCTGCTAAGGCCACCTGTGCTCAAGAATGCACACGGCCGTCTTTGCTGGTGAGCACGGCTCTGCAGCAGAAGCAAGGTGCGCCTCAGCACCCCAACCCCCGCCGTCACCCACTCCTGGCCCCGCCGATGACAGAAGCGCTCCAGAGTTTCACGGTGATCCTACGTGCGCCGTCATGAGGCAAGTCTGGGTCCCTCTTCTCGCGATCTGCAGCCACATGACAGTGGCAGTAGAAAACCAGATTCTCCTCTTGGGTGTACATGTGCCCCACACTATCTAGGCAACTCAGAGCAAGGCACTATCACTGAAATCATTTCACTGTCCCCACACACCCAGTGAAAGTGGGTGGCAATCCCAATTTCCAAAGAGACTGGTGGAGCCAAAGAGGTTAAGCAGCACAGTCTACAGGGCGTCGCAAGCCCTGGCCTCCCAGAGCAGAAATCTCTGGAGCACACACTCTCTTTGGCCTAGTTTCATCGACTGCTCATTACATACCCCCACGAAAAAGACTGCCTGACCATCACCCACATCCTTATCAACACCACAGTTGACATTATCAGGGCATCCGGGCCATCGGTGCCTGCGTGAAAAAGATACCTGCATTTGTTGACTTGAACCGATTTTATAGCCCGAGAGACAGAACTGGAAATGTCTGCAAAACACCTTGACCTTCATGCTCTGGCCTTTCCCAGATGCTCCCTAGTCCTTGGAATATACCCCCTTGGGTGCCACAAAGAGCGATGATCCTGTCCACTTAGGCCCTCTCCAGACCTCCTGTCCTCTGCCTCCTCCACCCCCGCAACTTTTTCCACGGCCCTCCAGCCCCCAAAGCCATGACCACGATCAATTTGACTTGCTTCTCTGTGTCCCTCTGCTCCTCTTCAAGGAGGAAGAAGTCATGGAAAAGCAGGGCTGGGTGGGAGTTGTTCCAAGACAGCCAGTGTCTGCGCTTGGCAAGTACTCCAGAAGCATCTTGCAGATGCTGTCGCGGGACAGAGGGCAGTCAGACTCACCCGCTCTCACCAAGGGGGTTTGCGCTGGCAGGGAAGCATGTGGTTCATGCCTAGGCAAGGGTGGGACAATCTCATTGATGTCCAGCACCCTCTCGATGCCAGAAGGTGTGTGCAATGTTTTCCCTACATTCACCCAGTCCTCACCAAAACCTCAGGAAGCGGGCACGCTGATGACCACGTTATAGGGGAGGACAGTGAGTTCCGTAAATGTAACATATCTGCTCAGTGCAACGCCAGCCTATGAACCCAGTATGTCCAACGCCAAGTCTGTTGGCTTCTTTCTCTTAAAATCATATCATGGAAGTGTCCTTGGTCTACCAGACTGAAAGCACAGATGGGTCAGTGTCTAGAAAATAAAAAGAACTCCTGCTAACCCACCTTTCAAAGCCAGGAAAGCATTAAGTGAAACAGGGTGAGTTGGAGCTGTGGTGGGGGGAGGGGCAGCGCTGGCATCAGAGACAGGACTGGGAAGATTTCTCAGATCTGTTCTCAGGTCTGCTGCCGTTCACAGCCTCCCTCACAAATGAGCTGCACAAAAAAAATAAGTGTGGGGCTGCCTGGGTGGCTCAGTCGGTCAAACGCCCGACTTTGACTCAGGTCATGATCTCACAGTTCATGAGTTTGAGCCCTGCGTCGGGCTCTGTGCTGACAGCTCAGAGCCTGGAGCCTGCTTCATATTTTGTGTCTCCCTCCCTCTCTGCCCCTCCCCCCCCCGCCCCGCTTACACACTCTCTCTCTCTCAAGAATAAGTATTTTTTAAAAATTAAAAAAAATAAGTGTGGGAAGGCTGACCTTTCTATCACATCGTATGTAGTTTCTATGTTTCAAGTATAAATTTTATAAAATGTACTCAGAGACACCCTACCCTCGCCAAAAAAAAAAAAAAATCCTCTCTTTTATTTCTTAAAATTCATACAACTTCAGGCACGGCAAGACCTCTGATATTGTCTAACCTTTCTTCACAATCAAAGAAAATGAAGCAACTTGGGGCACCTGGGTGGCTCAGTCGCTTAAGTGTCCGACTTAGGCTCAGGTCATGATCTCGCGGTTTGTGAGTTCGAGCCCCGCGTCGGCCTCCGGGCTGACCGCTCAGAGCATGGAGCCTGCTTCGGATTCTGAGTCTCCCTTTCTCTCTGCCCTTCCCCCGCTCATGCTCTGTCTCTCTGTGTCTCTCAGAAATAAATAAACATTTTTTAAAAAAATGAAGCAGCCTGAGGAAGCTGAAAGCTGTGCCCCCAAATTACATGCCTAGCTGGTTAGCTGTGCAGGTGCAGTGAGAACGGGATCCTAGGACTTCAGAATGTGCATTTATGCCTGTCTTCCTAAGGCACAAAGCCCTCTTCGCACCCGCACCACCCATAAAAACACTAGGATCAGCATTTACAAGGCAAAAAACACTGTCTGCTGCAATAAATACACTGGCACTGAAATGAGGTCTCCTTTCTGCTGAAGTGCATATAAACGGAGTCCTGACACTTTATA